ATATAATTTTATTTTTACATTTTAAAGAATCTTAACTTTTGAAAATGTTGTATACACATATATGAATACAAATCGTTAGAAAAGTATTTTTGAATGAATATATATGTGTATGTGTGTGTATGTATGTGTATGTATGAATGTGTATGTATGTGTATGTATGTATGTATATATATGTGTGTATGTATATATATGTGTGTATGTATATATATGTGTATGTATATATATATATATATATATATATATATATATATGTATGTATATGTATGTGTGTGTGTGTGTGTGTGTGTCTGTGTGTGTGTATGTGTGTATATGTGTATGTATGTATGTGTATATGTATGTATATGTATGTATATGTATATATGTATGTATGTATGTATGTATATGTATATATATGTATGTATGTATATTAAAAATTGGATAAGCATTTTTTAAAAACCAGCATCTATTTATCTGTCTGTCCATCTGTCCGTCCATCGTTCAGCAGGCAAAATACTCTAATTGCATACTTGAATCTATCAATTATGTCTGTTAAAGCAATGGTTCTCTGCTGGTGGGTTGTGATGCTAAATGCAAATAATAAAAGCAAGCAGAATCCGTCATAGTTTGATCAGCACAATAATTTGGTTTGTTGAAGCAAATGTTGAATGTGATGTTGAGGAGTGGCAGGAGTGTAGGGTGTTCCTGGTTTTCGGGGTGATATCAGAGTCTTTCTGTCTCGCGTAGCCCATGGGATGCGTTATCTGCCGCTCACCAGCGATCACAGACATGTTCCTCTTCCATTACACGGTTTCAAACACAAGCGTGAAAGTCATAAAGTTTAATGGTGTTCTCTCGCAGGTACAATCACTCCCTCTTTTTGAGTCCACGCTTCATTAAGTCCCAGAGAGATCTGTGTGTGTGTGTGTGTGTGTGTGTGCCAGGCTCTGTGCCCATGACTGTGAGGTTGTCAGTCAGAAGTGGAGGGTAGATCTGTTTCCTCCACAGATGCTTCCAGCGAGTCGTGTTCTCCAGCAGGAGGTGAACTGCTGTCTTGGGTCCCGGAGCATCTTGGTGCCCTTTGGGCAAACCTGATCTGATCTGAGCTGAGCGCTCTGGTCTCTTTTATTGAGAGAAATTATGTTTGCCTAAGTCACTTCAATGAATTCTTTGCAATTTTGACATAAACTACACAGTTTCAGATCTTTTTTCATTTAGATGGTTTAAACAAGAATTGTATGCAGTAGAACTGCTGATGATTATGACCATTTCCCATGAATAATAATAATAATAATGAAAAAACTTTAATTTAATAAACAAAATAAGAGTTTAAACAAACTTAAACATATGTAGCATATATAATTTTTTTGAACAAGTTCATAATATAATTAAACTATTAAATATATTAAATGTAATTTATTTTTAATTATATTATATATTATATGATATATTAATAATCAAGCAATTACATTTACTAAACAAATGTATTGAATAATTTTAAATATTTTAAATATTTTTAAATATATGTATATTAAGTTATTTTTAATTTTCATTGTATCTAGATTCATATCTACTTTGATTATATTAGATTATAATTATTATATATAGATTAGATTAGATTTTTAATGTAAAACACCTAAAACTAAAAAGCTAAAATATATTTAAAAATAGTAAAATATATTGAATAGCTTTAAATATGAAATATTATTTTATATATATACACACACACACACACACACACACACACACACACACACAGTGGTGTGAAAAAGTGTTATATATATATATGTATGCAGCCGCATAGGAGTGATAACTCTTATTTCCATGTCATGTTGTACCATAATCAGGAACAGGAAAAAAAAAACACTATTGTTCTTGTTCTTTGGTCCTCTAAAGGTCAGATGTAACTAGAACATGTGCTGTTCGGTGTTTGTTACGCTGTGTGTTTCTAATGGAAGCACATGTGTAACTGTGGCCTCTGCACATTTCCCATGATCCTGTGCATTTCCACTGATGCACGCGTCTTTCCACATAGAACCTGAAGGGAAATGTGAAGTGTACTACTTTTAATGTCATAGAGAAGACTCATTAAAGCAGGGGCATAACAATTCCTCCATTAATTTTCCAGCAACCAGTTTTTAATTAATAGTGCAGGCAGTATTAAATATGGAGTACACAAATTGCCTGTGGGCTTCGTAATTAATTCTAATGGAAGAAATTAAAAATTGGTGGGGTGGATTCAGATTATTCTGCTGTATGGCCGTGGTTTCAGGACCACTGGAGCGACTCTGTCAAAGAAAAGATCTTGCCTGGACTTTCCAGAAATCTCTGTGCTTTGTCACTCCAATGGATGAACGTCCATCTACCCAGACCGACCTTGAAATAGACATGATTTGTTTTTGTGTGTTTGAAAATTCCCCGAATCCCTAATTCAGGATGATTTGTTTACTCTGCATTTTTTTTGGTGAATGTTTTTTGTTTTTGCTTTTTTGTTTGTGTTTTTTTTTGTTGGTTTGTTTATTTTCTATGGGTTTGGTTTCTGTATTGTTTGTGGTGTTGGTTAGAGTTTTTTGTTTTGTTTTTATGGGTTTGTTTTGTTTAGATTTTTTTTTTAATTGTACTTTTGCGTCCATTCATTTTTCTGTTTTTAGCCATGACGAAAATGTGTAAGTTGTATTTTTAAATGCTATGCTGAAAAGCAAAATTGAAATTAGAACCGTACACACAACATGCTGCCTGAAAAAGTAAAATATTGACTTTTTCCAGATTTTTGTTTACGACTTTTTGCACCATAATAAACATTTGAAAAATGCACAAAATAATATAGCAAAATGTCAATTTTAACAAGTTTTCTTTGGCCAAATTAGAAGTAATGCTTCTCCCGTATGTTCAGTTGAGAACTTGAGCCATGTATGGAAAAGTGCAGAGACCTAATACAAATATGATTTTAAAACCGAAATCCTGGGAACTTTATCATCATGAAATTATATATTGGGGTATAATTTTGTCATAATTTTGTGTAGGGATGTAACGATTCACTCAACTCACGATTTGATTTTCTCACGATTTTTTTTAACAAAATCAAATTGAAGTCATTATACAGTAAATGAAAAGGTGTCGTTTTATTAGGCTATTGCTGCACGTTTCTTTGTGAAATTGAAATATAACAAAATTAAATTGAAATATTAAGACGAACCCCAAATCAAAGGTGTAACTAAGTTACACAAATAAAATAAATCTCTTAATATGAACAAACGAAGGCTTTGTCTGTGCTCTTTCTATTTAAAATGAGGCAACCACTAGATTTTAATCATGATCCAAACAAAGATGCAGCATGAGTAGTTTTTAATCTAAATTAGACTGTATTCGAATTTCAAAATTTGAAGCAAAAACAAAATGGTCTGACTTTAGATTTGTGAAACTATACTACATAAAACACATATCTGAAGGAAACAGCAGACGAGCTGAATGAGACGCAGATTAACTCTCTGCCAGCAGGTGGCGCTTATGAACAGTAATGATAGTGTTTCCTGGGTTACCACTGTAAACAAGGCAGAGCTGCGCTTATGAACACTACTGTAATATGCATTGTTCAGAGGCAAGATGAAAATAAAATACCACGTAAACCTTTCTAAAGATAGCCAGTTCCCCTCAGTGATACATTCGTATAAACTCCTACTCCAGTTGTATCGCGATTTGTTTGGCATCTCAACCGATTTGAATTGTCACATATTGGAATCGATTTTCGACCGGCTCGCGGTTAATTGTTACATCCCTAATTTTGTGTGCTATCTGGGTCACTGTATTGGAGAGGACCATGCATGGTTGCTCAAAGTACATATTGTGTTAGAGTGCTACTATATGGGGTAAATATATAAATAAAATTATAATTTCTCCTACTTCTCCAGATACAGACAAGCCCGGTTCCAGAATCAAAATACTGCACTTCTGAAATCAGTGAGGGTGCTCTAGCCTTAATGTAGCCTACATTTGTTTTAACATATTTTTGCCCTGTCCATTGATAGTAACATTCGCATATAAATGCGGCATTTATATGCAGATGTCACTGCCGTAACTTGCAGCGTGTAAGCTGTCACTGGTCCTCTTAGCATCATGTAAAACAAAACTTATTCAAATTCTGAATGGATTAGCCAAGAAACTCCCTTTATAATAATTAAAAAGCTGTCACTTATGTCAGTTTATCGCGATCTCACAAAGTCCCGTTATAATCAATGAAGCTGTACACTGCTCAATGACTCTCTTATTTACATCACGTTACACTTAGTTATAATGAGAGACTCCCGAGCATGCAGCACTGAACCAAACTGTGGCGGTGAGTGGACTCTAACTTAAACGCTTGGCCAGTGCGTTCAGGAAATCAACAGAAAATGTCGGTGATTGGCACATTGAAAATGGAAACCTTTGAAGCTCTCCAGAGTTCAAACACAAATACACACTGGAGCATTTGGAAAATATTTCACCAGTTTCCTATTTATACAGTTTCAACTCTTGCTTTTGTTTCGTTCCCTCTTGCACTCCCGTTGAACCGGCCCTGGAGACAGTTAATTGTAAAGAAATATGTATTGTATTGTATTCCATACATGTTTTTAGGCGTGAAAAATTTTCTATATCATAATATCAAAGCCAAAGATTTTCATAAAGGTTACTGGTGGCCACGTCAGTAGCGCAAGAGGGTGCTTCGCTTATAACGTCTGTATAGAGGCGTTAAAAAAGCTAGAAATGTAATTTTGCATTTATATACATTAAAAAACAAGCTTTATATCATTTTACGATTTTTAATGAAATACAAATTTTGAATAATGAACATTTGTTTGTCTATTCTATTAATCAGTGTTTAAAACCATTTGTTTTGTTTTTGGTTTTGTGTTTTTTTTAATGGTTGTTTTTTTTGGCTTTTATGGTTTTTGTTTTGTTTCGTTTGTGATGCTTGGTTTTAGTTTTTTGTATTTGGCAAGAATGTGTTATTTTCACTCAGTCGATTTCATTGTTTTCTCTCTCTGCAGGCCGTTGCACATCCTAGTGTGTAATGCAGCGGTTTGCACGCAGCCCTGGAATCTAACGGAGGACGGGCTGGAAACCACCTTTCAGATCTGTCATCTTGGCCATTTCTACTTGGTTGAGCTCCTGCAGGACGTCCTGCGGCACTCCGCTCCGGCTCGTGTGGTGGTGGTTTCCTCAGAGTCTCACAGGTGAGACTTTAATAATAATAATTAATAATAATAATAATGTATGCATTTAGCAGACGCTTTTATCCAAAGCGACTTACAGTGCATTCAGGCTATGCATTTTTTACCAGTATGTACTTTAGATTATATACCTTTATTTACTTTATCTCCCATCATTCCCTCATTTCAGCTCTGAAGCATTTGTGCACAATTATCCATTTACTCTCACTTGTCACTTCACCAACAGTCTCGGTCGCTCGCGTCTCCAGATTAATTTATAATTTTTGAGTCGGATAATTTTGCGACAATAGAGAAGGTTGCTCTTTACAGTCAGATTGTGTACGATATCTATCAGCACATGCTAACTAGACCATGCTAACTATCAAAACCCTGACCTCTTGGTTGAAAAACGGGCCACTTCTGTTCTCAGATTCTCAAATGTGTGTATAGTGTATGTAGTACAGATAGTATGCAGAAAAAGAGCTAATATTTGGGGATTACTCTTCCTGTAGCGTGATTATTAAATGAAAGTCCTTTGAAGAACAGTTTCGGCTCTGAGAGTGTGAGGGTCCATTAGATTAACAAGCCCCTTGTGTCATTGAGGGAACAAAATCTCAATTCGCTCTCGCCAACAGTAAAATCACTTACTTGTTATCGCAGTAACCCTTCCATTTAACTTTTACAGTTTATTTCTTCTGCTACACCTGATCATTTTTGATCCTTACCTCCTCATCTCTATAAATTCCAGCACCTTTAATATGTGGCCTTTTGAGCTCCCCATCTGACCTCTGACCCAGGAAGAGATTATATTTCCCAAAGCCACAAGAGCCGTTAAACCTCGACACGGCCGTGCGAGCGACGGAAAGCGGCTCGGAGAGGGAGGGAAAGAATGAGGGGTTGGGGAGATTGAGGGTGGAAGAATAAAATGGAGCCAGCGGGGACGTTTATCTGCGCTGTAGCACTGGGGCTTAAGTGACAGGACCGATAGGTGCTGGCATTTGCCTCCAAACAAGAGGACACTGATAGCGTGGACAGGAAACTCACCTCTGAAAACTCACACCAGATTCACGCCTTTATACTTCAGTCTCTTTAAAGCAGGATACTGCAGTCATTAAATACCAGCCTGACCTGACCTTTTCATACCTCTGCTCTGAAAATAGACTATTTCCACCCCAGAATGCCTCTGCTGGGAAGACCGTATGGATTATCCCGGCCGTGAGGTGATGACAAAGTCAACATGTGCAGACTGAGGGATAGTGGGGATGGATATATAACCGCTAAACTGGGTAGTTCAGCCAAAAATACTAATAACAAAAACATTGTCATCATTTACTTGCATTCGTGTCATTCTAAACCCGGTTTTCGTTCTTCAATGGAACAGAAAAGGAGTTTTAAACGGTGTTCAGTGTCACACAGCACTTGAAATTGAATAGGGATGCATGATATTGTGCTCAAAAAATTGTGAAATTAATTAAAAATTTAAATGAATAAATAAAATTAGTTTGTTTGTTTATTTTGCATGAAGCTTTTATTATCATTGCAATAGTGCTTTTTATTCCCCATTGAATGCACAGAACTACTTCAGAAGACTTGGAATACAGTGCACAGTCAGCTGGACCACATGGAAAAATAAATAAAATACAATAAAATAAAACAAACAACTGAAAATTTATTTATATTTTAAGATTTTATTTTTGTTTTAAATATCAAGAAAATGGTCTCATATGCAAACTTGACATATTGCTAAAGGTTTGACATAATTGATGCCAAATGTTATTGGTTTCTATGTGTTAAGTTAAAATGTGTGCATACACAAATGATAGTGAGGGCAAGATTTTTAGTGAATAATGGACCACCAGGGCTCGACAATAAGGACTGCGCGATGGCCCGTGAAAGACGTTCGGGACAGTAGACGGATTTGTCACTTGCCCGATCGGGCCACTGCAGCGTCGTCACAACTTAACATTTGCATGTGTTTTTAAGACTTGTTAATTTAAAAATTCAAGCGATTAAAAAGCATTTGGGCGCGAAAGACAACTACATTCAGTACTACATTCAGTGAACAGCGAGCGCAGAGAGCCGCCTGAACGGGCAAATACAAAAGTATATCAAAATACCCGCCGTGGCAAGTAACTTTGTAGCTTTAACAATGATTAATCTATATTGAATTTATACACTGGAGTAAGTTACAGATGCACCGGACATTTTTTGTTTTATTTCAGATTATCTTCTGTTCCGTGCTTGCACACAAACTGCACTGCAATCATTTCCCCAATGGCCAATTGTGTGGAAATATTACGTTATTATTATACTTAGTCTGTAAACGTGCATTAACAGAGGCCAGAGATGCTGAAGACGGACACAAAGAGGAGAAAATACTGTAGCAGGCAGAACAAGATCGCTGTTCACGATGTGCGAAATATAGGAGGAAAATCCAAATATTGAATTTTATATGAATGTGTTTCTGAGGGGAACGGAACTGACTGTTTTCAGAAATGGCGTTTTCATTTTGTCTCCGTATTATGCATTTAAATTAGTGTTAATAGTGTTAATGCATTTAAATTAGTGTCAATAGTGTTTTTTTTACAGTCTATGGTCAAGGAAATGCTGTATCACTGTACCATAAGCGCTGTCTGCTGTCAGAGAGTGAATCTGCGTCTCATTCAGCCCACCTGCTGTTTCTGTTTCATACAGATGTTTTATGTAGCATAATTTCACAAAGCTAAAGTCAGGTTATTCTGTTTTTGCTTCAGATTTTGTAACTATACAGTCTAATATAAGTCAAACATTGCGCTTTTTTTTCAATTCATGATTAAAATGCAAAAAAAGATCAAGGTGCAACACAGAGTGAAGAATATGCTAATGTTATTTTATATGTGGTTTTTCAATTTCTGTACCTGAACATCTACAAACATAAAAACATAAAGAATCATTTCATTTCGATTTTTGTGCTATATGCCTATATTTAATTGTGCTATTTGTTCATTTTTTCTTATTTACTGGCTGTCACTTGTCTTTAATGTTTAAACTTTATATTTATGTTTATTTTTGGCTAGTGATTTTTGCTGTGGTAACGAAAATGAAATGGAGAATTGCAAAATTTAATTGATATACTAAAATATTGGTGTCATATAAGCTTATTTATTAGAATACAAGATAACAGATCAAAAACAATGATAACAGCAACTATTTTATTTTTTGTGGCAGGGCCAGTGAAAATGTTGGTAGGGCAAGTAAAAATTTGAACCACTGGCCCAACTGGGCCAGTAGAAAAAATCCTTAGTGTTGATCCCTGACCACTCTTAGCAAAGATGATTTAACTTGATAGACCCTGCTAATTTCATTCTTTGGGGGAAAAAGTGTTGATGTCATATTGGGTTTGGAAACAGGAAAGTGAATAAATTATATCAGAATTTTATTGAATTAATTTTTTTTATTTTTTTGGTGAACTATTCCTTTAATTAACTAGTTTCCTTCCCACTGCCACAGTTCACACCTTTAGTATTTGTAACAACGCGTTGCCCGCAGATGTTGTTGTTTACCCAAGCAGAGATGTAATGTGTCAAACATCAACACTGGCCACACTGAGCTTGTCATACAGCGAATGTGACGTTTTGATTGGTTATGTAAAGCGCATAATTAAGAGGTAAATGTTGAGTGCGATTGCGGGCTCTGATCCGCACTAGAGGAGGGACCATTCATTTTACTGCAGTTTCTTGGGACTGTTTACACATGCACACACACACACACACAAGGACACGTCGAGAAAATATAATGTCTTGCGTTCAGGGGCCTTGTCAAACATCTGACGTTTAACAGCTTAGTCAGAGCCAATTTAAGAACATCATGTCGTAGCTTTGATTTGCATTAAGCCAGACCTGGCCTGCCAATGCTCATTTAGTTCATTTCTCCATCGGCTCACATTCTGGAGGTTATTCCCGCCTGTTAACCTTAGACTTGAGACTTTAGTCACACTGTAGTTGGTGAGAAATCAATTAGGTCCCTTAGTTCAATATTGAAAAATGAGAGTTCTATTATGTTTTATTTACCTTCCAAATTCCAAACCTGTATGACTTACTTTCTTCTGTGAATGTTGGAAACCAAAGAGTTTTGGTGACTTTAGACTTCCATTTGGACAAATTAAAAAACAAAGACACGAAACTAGATGCCAAACAAGACACAAAACATAAAAAAGTAAACAAAACACCTACAAGAAAAATACAAAACAAACATAAAAACCAACATAAAACAAAGCATAAAAAACTATTAAAAAACCAAACACCAAACAAAATAAAACCGTAACACAAACAGTAACACCAAAAAACCCCACACAAAACAAAGCATAAAAACCAACATAAAACAAAAGACACTTACAAGAAAACAAAAATAACAAAACACCAACACAAAACAAAACAGCAAAACAAAAACCAATACAAAAAAACACAGAAAACCTAAAAAAAAAAAAACCTTAAAATAAAATGAGACAAAAACAAAAAACCACACACAAAGACACAAATCAGAAAAGAAAACAAACAAAAGAGACATTTCTCAAAATAAGTGTCTTCTGTTTTGATGTTAGTATGAATTGCTCTTTGTTGTTTGTGAAGGTTCACAGATCTGGTGGACTCATGTGGGAAGGTGGAGCTGAATCTGCTTTCACCTCCACAGAAGGAGTACTGGTCAATGCTAGCCTACAACCGTGCCAAACTCTGCAACATCCTCTTCTCCAGCGAGCTGCACCGCCGCATGTCGCCCCACGGCGTCACCTGTAACGCACTGCATCCTGGGAACATGATGTACACCTCTATCCACCGCAGCTGGTGGCTCATGACCCTGCTCTTCACCTTTGCACGACCCTTCACCAAGTCTATGGTAAGAGCAAGATATGTAATTTTTCCCTCTTTCACTTGATGTAGTGGACGATTAAGAATGCTCCTGAGTTTTTTTGTTTGTTTTTAAACCGCTACTTCTTCAGCATCATAACTAAAATGGCAACCGATTTTGATCGTTGTTCGTAGGCATCAACAACACGTCACACAATTCGCTTTCTTCATGTGAAGCACACAGTAGACTTGATATACAGCTAATTTGAATGGAGTTTGATGTTAGTGTGTTGCTGCAAAAACATGTTATTTTATGAATAAACCCTAAGTTGCATAAAAATATGCTGGGTGTAACAGAACATTTCCAATTTACATTTTTAATTGAAGTATTTTTTATTATATTTTCTGCTATTGCATTAAATATAGTAAATATAGTAGTTGTGCACAGATGTATACATTTTGCCTGATACCAATGAACTGATTAGTTGGTTCGCTCGTTCATTCATTGCTTGCTTTGATTTTAAAATGGTATACTGTTTTGTCTAAATAAAAAAAACTAAACTTAAAATAAGAAACAAACAAACAAAATAATAAAAAAAGTTTTTAAATATTGCAAATTACATTTTACAGTACAGTATGAAAATCTGTCATGTTTGGGATTATTTAATAATATTAATTGTTATTCGTGCTTTTAAATAAATAAATCTAAAATTTGGCCAATAACCGATATGGTACCGATATATTGTGCAAGAAGTTGACTCGACTTGAATTTCTTTCCACTGATCTTGTCACTGTTCTAGTATTTCTTTTCTGGATGAATACATGTGATGCTAGCTTAACTATTGGCCAAAATGAGGTATCTTAAAGTTTTGCAATAGCCTTCTCATTGGGAACCTACGGTACCTTGAAATGCAACATTAGCTTGCTAGACTGAAGAACAAAGCTATTGCGTCTTTTGTTTGTCGCGTATATGATTTTGTGACTGAGGTGCTCTTTGTTTTCTTCATTTCACACCATCTGTAAATGTACACCTGCTTTTATGTGACTTTTTCAGGTACGGTGGTTGGTACTTCAATTTTTTTGTGGTCCAAGAAAGTTTCGCTATCATGTTTTTGGGTTCCTAAGCAGGAATCGCCTGTAGTTAGCAGAGCGTGTGTGTGTGTGTGTGTCACGCTGCCGTAGCGCTGCTCGTATAGCCCAGCGCCGCATAAATCAGGTGGGCAGCTCTTCCTGTAGGCAACACTCTCCCGTTTTAGCCCGAAGAGGCGAGTCACATACACTTACAGAGACAAACTATAAAATTCAACATCCTCATAAATCATAAAGTATCTGCCTGTTTCGCACCTGAAGCATTTCCTTCCGCTTCTGATATGCTTTAGGCCACACAATGCATTTGATGTATTCTTTGTTTTAATTTTGGTTGAAAAATCTGAAGGCAGGTTTTGATGTAGTGTTGAGTATTTCAGTCGAGCTGATTATGTATTAAAGAGATGGTTATGAATATACCAGAAGTGTATGCGCACGGCCCAGTCGTAACTCAAAACCGCTCATTTCTCCAGCTGTCAGTCATGTTTGATGGACGTCAGTGTGGATCAAGGCATTCTGCTGCTGCTGTTTCTGAACTGTGATTTGTTCATTTGACTTATTTATTTTTTTTAACATTTCATAGTTTTGAACATGTAAAGAAGAACCAACATTTTAGACATGCGTTTCCTAAAATTTTCCAGTGATGTCATTCCTGATTTTTAATAGATTTCACTCTATGGTGTATTATTTATAGTATATATTAAGTTATTATTATTATTATTATTATTATATACATTATTTATATTTAGATATACATACTTTATATATATTTACATTATATATATATATATATATATATATATATATATATATATATATATATATATATATATATCCTAAGCTGTTATTATTATAATTATTATTGTTATTTATCGGTATAGTAATTATTTTCACCATATATTAAGTGCAGTACAGATGACACTTAACATAGGAAAACCCCAGTTCTTACCAAGGTGTTAATGTGCTTCTCTCTCCCTTTTCTGAAACCCCTCAAATATTAGTGAACTTAACACAAAACAGTGCTGTTATTTTATTTATTGGTTATGAGGTTATGAAGATGGTATAGTTTTAATTGCTTGCAGTCTCATATGGGATGCTGGGAAATTGTTCAAGGTTGCAAAGCTCTGCAGAATGTTGACAGGAAGAGCCTGGAACGATATTACACCCAAGCTCAGTAATATGCCTTTGTCTTCTCCAAGAAGCTGTACGTGATTTATAACTGCGCAAATCTAGAATAAAACCTCTTATTTTGCCGTTTTATTGCATCTGAGTGGGACACTTCCATTTAGTTTAGTGTTTTTTTACAGTTTGATACATAATGCATCAAACATCCCAATAAGAAATTGATTATTATTATTATATTTGTTTGTCTCAATTTAAAAAAACTAAAATATAATAATAAAAATGGCAGATGCCATTTTAAAATGCAAAGGGTGTTGCAGTGTAATTCATAAAACCGAATATCATGATCTCATCTTGTAATTTGTAGATAATTTTCAGTTTTGCTGAGTTGATAAAAATTAATTGGGAAAGAGGCAGGACTGATATCTGACTTTAACTCTCACGACTGTGTTCATCTATAATCTGTACATCAGATATGTTCTGCCATGCATCTCTCTTGCAATCTTTGTGGCCTGCAGTTGTACATTAGGCCCATGCTGATCTCCAGATGCGTTTAGCTTTGATAAGAGTGGAGTCATTTTCTCCTCATAATAATCAAGTGGTCTCTTGTGCTGAGCAGAATTGACAGTACTGATCTTTCCTGGCATATGGATGTCCTGTCAGTGAGAAGCAGGGATAAAAATGCATCATTCCATTGACTAAACTCACCACTGAGGATATTAGTGTACAATTTAGGATACAAAGCAACCATCTGCCATTGGAATCATTTTGATGAGAAAGTTATTTGCAACTATAATATACTGTACTGTAGTAGAATTGAATTTAATATGACTTACCAAAATAGGGTTAGAATCAACAAAATATAGCTATTGACGTTACTTGCTCAGAAATCCAAAAATTCCTCATTTGCATGAGCAAATTTTAAATTTCCAAGAAATGTAGTTTTTATTAGATCTGCAATGGTTTATGTTTGTTAGATATTTTTGCTCAATGTCAAAAAAAGGCAATTTTTGATACTTCCTACATGGTTTTATGTGAACGTCCCCGAAGCCTCTGTAACATTTTAATTTGTGTAGTCAAACAGCTGTTTTAGCATGTTTGGTTTGACATTTCTTAGACGGTTGGGTATTGTGGCATCTAATAGCTGCTTGATGCTTTGGGACATGAAGCTGCTGGGAAAATCACAGCCACCCAATCAGCACCCCACCTTCCCCCTCCCGTCATGCCAAGCCTTCTTCACAATCGCTTCATTGGGATCCAGTCCGGCATCTGACTGCGCGTTTTCAGCAGTTTAGCGCAATTATTTTCCCCAGGATTCTGCCTCAGGCGCTCCGCTACCTTTTTACATATGCAGGGGCTGAACTTTTGACCATGGCCCAATAGTCGTACATTAGGCGACACTTTGCTCTAAAAGGGGGACTTTAACAAGTTCCTCTGTGCATTGGCAAGTGTCTCGCCTCTCGCCTGTGAGATAATTTAACCAGCCTGCTGCGAGATTGCTGCCAGTGCTTTCTTATGGGAGTCTAAATCTCTCTCGCTCTCGGTCCCCTTGTAAGCTGAGCTTAGAAGGAGATGCTGTTGATGGATCTTTCCTCGTGCTCGGCTAACGAGGGCTCTGCTTCTATTAGTACACTACAGAGGCATTACCCATTCTCTCTCGTGCTTCTTTAATGAAGTCTCGTCACCCCGAGAAGCTCAGATTTATGCCACTGCTGTCGCGCTGCGATGAGCCCTGTCGGCATGGCGAGTGTCTCCCGGTAACCGGTTGTAAGGTCAGGTGTTGTTATCTGCCTGTACACGGGTCCTATCATGGCAGCGGCACAAACGGGGCTGACAGGCGCTCAGTGGAGCGGAGCGAAGTGGGGCAGAGGTCTACACCCAGAGCCCCTTTCGCTGTGGCGGGACACGATGAGCTGCCAGCAGCCCTAATGGACTCATAATTGGTGATTAGGGCCTGCAGGTTGAGAAGAGAACCGGTTCACTCAGCCTGCCGGAATGTTTTCCGCTACAGGCTGCTGTGCTGTCTTCTACCGGAGTACTCGGCCTGGAACGACTCACTAGTATAGCAAATCTAATGGCCACTATAGCCACTCTTGCCCTCTGGATATATCTGACAATATCCCTGTTCGTTTTCAAGGGTTTTTCTAGATCAGTGTTTTCCAACCCTGTTTCTGGAGGCACCCCAACAGTACACATTTTGGTCTTGCTTACTTGACCCACCAATTTCAGATCTTGCAGTGTCTACTAAAGAGCTAATGAGTTGATCCAGGTGCTAATGAGTTGATCCAGGTGTGTTTGATTAGCTAAAGCTTGAAAATGTGTAGTGTTGGGGTGCCCCCAGGAACAGGGTTTGGAAACACTGTTCTAGATCAGAGTTTTTCAGACCTGTCCTGGAGGCCAGAACCACGCATTTTGTATGTTTCCAAGTTTCCAAAAATTCTAGAAAGTTTCTGGAAAATTACTGGACATTTTCCATCCCTTTGCAACCTTAGTCTCTTTTATATATCTAATCCAGGTCTTGGAGTATCTACTGAGCTGATGAGTTGATCCAGGTGTTGGATTAGGAAGAGTTGGGAAATATGTGGTTTTGGGGGTGCCTACAGAAACAGGGATGGGAAACACTGTGGTTTCCAACCACAGTCCTAGAGACTGCCTCCCCCCAGCACTGCACATTTTGCATATCCCCTTTGTCTGATGCAACCATTTCAGGTTTTGGAGTCTCTACTAATGAGCTGATATCCTGAATCAGGTGTGTTTGATTAGGAAGACATGCAAAATGTGTGGGGGGAACATGGTTGGGAACCACTGGTCTAGATAACAAGACTCAAGACATACTAAGTT